AGATAAAGAATTTTAAATCTATCTTTTTTTAGTATAAATAGACTTTACGTACAAATTTTGACTTCACCGATTTTATGAGATTTGTTTTGACAAAATCAAAGACGAACACTGAAAAATGTTTCTATTAACATTTACAATGTGTATTTAATGTTTTTATTTTGGCAAATTATTCTTTTTAAATGTGATATATAAATATTAAAAATACTTAAAATATTTTATAACATCTATAAAAACATCTAAAATATTCTATATTATTCACAAATAATGTTTGAAGCTACCTAAATTTTTCTAAACTACCCGTATGTCTAAAAATTCTTCATTTAACCTCCATTATGTATATATATAGAGAGAGCAAATGTGTAAAAAAAATTATACAAATAATATTTGAAATTATCTAAAATATTAGTAATTAGACAGGTGAAATTTAGATTTTTAAAAAATCTATATATATAATGGATTTATAGTAGTAATTAGAATTTTATTTATTTACATTTAAAGTTGTTACGATGAGGGATGTGATTTTTTGACTCGTGGAGATGGAATTTTATAAGCTGGCTTATGAAATTTTCTTAAACTCGTGCATATCTATGCGATGAGTTTTTTAAGCTGGTTATATAGATTTAAAATTGTAAAAAAAAAAAAAACTTTCATAAATCATTTGATTTGGTATTTTCGGAGAGCTTCATTAATTCAAAAGTGTAAAATAAATAAATAAAAAGAGTACAACTAAAAAAGTTACAGCCAATTGTATGAAGAACTAAACTAAATCCAATTTTGTAGGATGCATTAAATATTGATTAGATTTTATATGTAAAATAAAATAAAAAATAACTGGAATAGTTTTACGTGTTGTAATATTTTATAGTTAAAAAAATTAAAAAATCTTCTTTTACGAATTGCATACCAACATTTTAGGAACTACATGGATATTCCTAAATTAATATTGCATACCCAATATTTTAGGAACTAATTAAATGCTAATTTGATTTGCATACCAAAAATATTAGATGTATTAATTAAATGCTTGATAAAAATAGCAAATCATTAATTAGAGTTCACTATTCTACATACTACATTTAGTAAATAGTATAGTTTTTAATATAAGTATAGATATGTATTCAATTGTGAAAAACAATTACGGTACCAGTAACAGAACCTTAGAATTTTCCATTATTATATTTGTATGTGTGTAGAGAGAGGGTGAGGTTTCTACCAACGAATTGCCAGAAATAGCCTTGGTGAAAACGTTCAATATTTTATGTGAATTCAGCAAAAAAATAAAAAATAAAAACATAAAAAAAAAAATAAAAATGATCAAGCTCAGCTTTCTTTTATTCATAAAAAATTAAAAAAAGAAATTGAAATAAAGAAAAATAAAAGAAATATCTTATTTTCTACTTTTCATTTATATGTGGAAAATATTCTATTCTAAGATTTTCATACAAAATTAAAAAAAAAAATGAAATAAAAAAGAAAAATAAAAGAAATATCTTATTTTCTACTTTTCTTTTATATGTAGAAAATATTTTATTCTAAGATATTATAAGAGAAGGGATCCATGTAGGGTGTGATTGGTTGGAGTGATAAGGAGTGATATCACACCCTTTATTATAGTATCCACGTGTTTAAGGTGTTTGGTTGAAAGTCTTAGGCTCTGAAAAATAGGCATGGCCCGGTCAATTATCCCTCAACTTGCTTATGATGTATCCGGCCAAATTGGTGGGATGCTATATACCGCAATCATTCACAAATTGTGAGTTCCCAAAATGTCCCTATTCTTTTACACGTATTTTTCTTTTCATTCTGATGCTTCCTCTCCTCATCTTGTTTTCTTCCCAATTTGCAGATCAAGACCCAAACTTTTTCTCCTAGAATCCCTCCTCCTCTCCACTTATTCTTCCTTCCCAAATCGCAAAACAAAACCTCCAATTTTTTTTTTTCCAAAATTTCTTCAAAAATCCCTCTCACTCTCCCTGTCATTTCTCCGAATTTCATCTATATACTCTCACATCACACATAATTCCCAATTTATGAGCTGCAGACACAAATTTCATGAATCCATGTTCTACCTACCTGTTCTCGGCGATTCCGACGGCGGCAGCGGTGGACTACCGAAAGGTTTGTGCTGAAGATAAAATAAAAATTCATATGAAAGTAACAATTATTAACTCTTGATGTAGGCCATAAATCTAAAACAAAAATTTAAAATCTATTTATTAAGCAGCTAATTTTGGTAAAATCTGAAATTGGCTTTGTTT